GAAAAAATTGATGTGGGTGGAATGGCCAATCATATATGTTAGTTACATATGGCAAGTGAGCTAGGGTTCAGCCAGCAAATCATTTTTTACTGTACTTTACTTGAATGTGAAGCAGCAATGACATGGGACTTTGTTTTCTTGGATTCATTTATTGATTTTAACGTCTTTCCCCCACAACACACAGGTACAACCAAGGCATGTGGCTTTGTCGTGTATCAAAACAACAAGCTTTTCCAATCAAAAACATTTATAACTAAGTCAAATTTTAGTCAAAAAATTATCTCAAGCAAAACTGATGACAATAAAGAAGTTCAGCATGCTTCTGTTGAAATGGTCTTTAGTCCAAAGGTGAGTATTTTCATGAACAGAAATAAAAAGTTCAGACCACTCTTGACTATAAATGCAGGGATAGTTTGGGTAAAAGAAACCCATATAAACGATTCTTTGAAGTATCCATTTAAGTATTCTTCTCACTCATATATTCAGTCAAACTAAATGCAAAATTAACTAATTTGCTTTTTGTGTTCTTTTCCCCTTCCTTAATCTATAATAAAGATGCTACTGCTTAGTACGTGTCTGACTGATCTCTCATATAGCAGTCTTACTCTATGTGACTTTTTTACCCAATTAAACATTAAAAATTCGGTCATTGTAATTTTCTTATCATTTCACAGTATAGTCGAGAAGAATTTCAACTCTATTCCTTTGCCTGTGTCTTTTGGAATTTTTCAATGAACGATTGGGACACGTATGGCTGTGACAAAGTCAAGGGCCATGATGGATTCTTGCAATACCGCTGCAACCATACTACTAATTTTGCTGTATTAATGGTAAGGAAGTACACAGTAATTTATTCTAGGGGAGAATTTTCCTTATTCACAACTCTAATATATGCTTATGAGAGGAAATCACGGGGTGTAGTTTGATTTTTAAGTTTAATTTGATTCTTGGCTCACATTAAGTAGAAAAACAAGGAATGGAGTGATCGAACTAGGAAGGGACATGAATGTAGACTAGAGTTTTTTGCAATATGGTC